TTGTTTATTGATGGCATAAATATTTGTTGGACATTTAAGTTCTATTCACTGTTTCTATTAATTTTCTGGGGTTTTCACTGTCTTAAGAATAACTGTCAATTTTAATGAAAGTGGTGTCCATTTAGGGAGATTAGGAGCTGAGATACTTGGCAGTTATTTTGTCACTGTGATGTGGTCTTGTTATGGGGTTTGAAGTACTTGACAGTTTGATACAGGCTTTTGAAGGTCAAATTCTAACATGGCCAAAAAGAAAAAAAAAAAAAAAAAAGTAAAAAAGAGATTTAAGTTCTATTTACTGCTAAGTGGCTCAAAAAAAAATACTGCTAAAAATGGTGTTAGACTGTAAGTTTAAGAAGAAATTTGAGAGGAAACTTAAAGAAAAAAAAGAGTTGAATGGGTTGACCCATACCTGTATGCAGTTAGGTTAGGGTCAACCCACTACTGACCAGTGACTTGTTTTGACCTGTCTTGACTTGCTTAACCTGTGTGACCTGAACTGAACCCAACCCGCTTGACCCGTTTGTCAAGTCTACTTGAATGGATTGATGATCACGATGACAGTCATTGGTTCAGCCTTTTTTTTTTTTTTCCTTAGATTGGATACCAAACTCCCAAGGTTTTAGTAGAGAAACATATGGAAAGGTCTTTCTTCAAGAAAGAAGAGTTCAACTCTTCTGTCCAGTCCAGCTAAAATGTGAAACACCTCTCGAGTGAAACATATCAACCCCCTTTATCTTAAGCTTTATCAGCGAAGTAGTGAATGTGGCCTTGAAATTCAAAACTGTAACTAGGTAACTGGGCTATTTTCTTTGTGGCTGTTTTTAATCATGAATAACAAAGATTACTTTCCTTCTGTTACTATACTTGCTCTGTAAATATGACCTTGAAAATTCTCAGGACATAAATGAAGATGATTTCCCTTCATTCCTTTCTTATCATTATCAAAATATCTTGTTTAGAATGAATATAAGTGGTTTTATGATATTGCTATTTCAAATTAAGAGCCCATCTTTCATGTTCATTTTTCCTTCAGGTTGCTCCCTCCTGGGAATCCTTAGACAGATGGCTTGATGCCAATCAACATATAACATCTTCTGGTAGTGATTGGTTTTCTAGTGAGAATTTTAAGGTAAGGAGGACCTTTACACAACATATAAAAAGGTAAATTTCTTCTTACCCAAAATGTGCTCTGTACAGTATCAAGCACCATAAACTTATTTTATTTATCATACAAAATTTAACATTGTTAAATATATGTTAGAAAATACAGTTTCTTGATCAAAATGATTATAGATATTAGATCAGTTGCATGCATGGGAGTTGGGATTGATATGCACTATTCTCTATAAAATATTTCTTTTTCTTAAGTATTTTAAATTTTCTAGCTTCTCCTTTATATTTAAGTCTTAATTTTATGTAAAAATATCATTATATTGTATGTTTATATATATTATTCCTAGGAATGTCCCAAGACTCCCAAGTTCCAACCATCAATTAGGTTGCTAAATTTCCCAACTGCACCACAAACCCTGTAAGACCACTCTGAATGGGGCAGAAATGGGAGGAACTTTCCTCCTGCTGGACGGAAATGGAGGGAATTTATACCATTGAATATTGTTTTTATTTTTATTTTTATTTTTTTGCCAAGCCATTGAATAGTGTTTAAACATGACCTTATGGAGTTATCCTATAGAAAATTCTAGACTATTGTTCTGCATGAAAGTCCCACATCAATTAAGTGATGAGATATCAAATTTTTTTAACCTGAATCTCCCTACTAATTTGTAAATTAAATATTTTAGTTCGAATGTCCTTGCATTTTCGTGAACATAATGAAATTGGGTTGAATGTTAGACTATAGTTTGTATTTAATGTAACTTTTTTTTTTTTAGGGAATAACCAAACAAACTGTTCATGTTGTCTGTGCTTTTCAGTCTTTACCCAAAGCTAAGAACGGTTATGGCAATGTCTCCCTCGGACCCTAAGCTTGATTTAATGAAGCAGATAAGAACCCATGAGGTTGCAATGGTAGAGCTCAGTAATATTTCTTCTTCTCGGGCAGTCTACCAGAAAAATGGCAACCTGTTTTTCCGGACAACTGTGCCCAAAGCAAAAGCATCTGAACAAAAACAACTTGATGCAGCGAAGGCTAAGCTGGAAAAGCTGAATTCTTAGGGATTATGCTCAAACAGCTTATTATATTAGGTGAATGCACATTTCAAGCTCAGATATACCTTGATTGCTGAAGAAAGCTGCATTTGCAACTGATAACATTTCACCATCCCTTTCTTGGTCTAAGCTACTGTTCATAACTTGTTCTGTTTCATAAAGCATGAATTTTTTCCAAAGAAGTTAGAAATAGAGAGAATTGAAGCTTATATGAATATTTATCTGGCTTATTTGTCTTTAGCTACACTGTTGAGTTGAATGAAGCTATGATGATTTCTTAACTTGAATGATAGGATAATGATTGATACACACTTTAGTTTAATACAAATATTAACACCTATTGGTTTAACACAAATATTAACATTTATGGTTTATTCATTAAAAAATTAATAAAAAATTTTTTAAGATAAATTTTAAATTACTGAACCAATGGAAGTTGTTAGGTATATCCAATAAAAACGTCTTTCAATCACTTTCCTTGATAATAACGAACATGAATAGTGTACTTTTTGTGTTTGTTGTGGAAAATTTATGCATGCGTTCATGAAATGCAGTGTTTACCGTTAGCTGTAGCTTGCAGAAATAAATAATAGTAATAATAATTTCCTCAATCACAAGAAGGGCCGAAAAAACCAACTATGGCAGGCAACAAGACCAATTAAAAAAAAAATTCAAAATTAAGCAGTGTTAATTGCTTTATTCATATGATTGAAGCAAAATCTACTCGTGTGATTAAAAATAAAGAGTAAGTTGGCTTTAGAGTTCTATAAAAAAAATAAAAAGGTTAGTTTGTTTAAGAGTTCTGTCTAGAAGTTTCGTAGCTAAATATGCATTATCTAATACTAGTTTCAAACAATTATGGAGTAATTTCCAATGTTACAAAGAAATTTAGAATTTTTTAACATAAACGTAATTATACAAATTATGGATTTAAAAAAAAAAATATTTGAACATTCGGCCGTCCTGTGACGAGTTTGACTGTTTGAGCACATCTAAGGGGTTCACACCCCTATTAAGTTGGTCTATTAAAAAACTCAACTTTCTTAAATGCTGTCCTTAAGATTTTAAACCTTGAGAGTTGAGTAGTAAT